TTCATCACTGGGATTGAAGAACAGCGAAGAGAATAGGGGCAAGTAAGGGTTTTTGGAGGGGTATATCCTAAAACCTACGAATTTTGTGCCCTAGAATGTGAAATACCAAGTGAAAATAGCAAAAAAGGGCTTTGGAACGGCAAGAAAGGAAGCTTCTCCTTCGGACACGAACTCAAGAATGGCAAGAAAGGAAGGGTGCTGGAGCTCTGGAACGTCGATAGCTTGAAGAGAGTCAGTAAGATTGAAAAGAAGTGAGATATGGCATGTTTATATAGGTGAAAAGGCCGCCCAAATTTGAATGTGAAGGGACGTGATGGTTGGCTGCTCGAGGCCAATCCAGGTACGACACGTGTCCCTATTGACGGCAGCATCAGTACTGAAAAGTCAGGATGGCAAATCGAGGCGTCGACCGGGAAAGTTTTGAAAACATGCATGTCAACTAGCCCGGTCACCGTCTTGCAAACTGAGGACCGAGGAAGAGTTACCCCGGTTAGAACAGGTAATCCCAGTCACGCTTGCGCGGACGGAATTAAGGGACAATTGAGAGAGAAATTTATGAGCTAGATTGGGCCGTGGTAATGACCGGGCAGATTATGGGTCGAACATGTTGTGGGCCGTGGTAGCTTGGGCTTAGCCGGAGAGGGTTGTGCTCGGTAATGGCCCAGGACCATGCTAGGACCAAGCTACTTGGCTTGTTTATATGGGAACCGAGCTAATTGGGGTAATTTGGCCGAGATAATGGAAGCCGGTCCTGTTCCCATGGTTCGCACTTCCAGCTCGGCTGGAAAGGTCTTCGGTTTACCAGCTCGACCAGTTTTCAGCTCGGCTATGCTGGAATGCAACCGAGCTCGGTCGTCGTTGAGCTCGGCGAGCGGAGCGCTCTAGCTTGTTGTGCAACAAGGCCGTTGGCCGCCAAGATGATGCAGCCCGGTTGCCGAGATCCTGGTAGTGTGGGCTGGCAGTTTGGTTAGGTGATGATCAGCTAGATTTGTGCTGACAGATGGGATAGCAACACCATGTGTCGAGAGACTAATGGGAGTATATTTGGGGCGCAGAAGGTATATAAGTGAGTCTACGCGCCCCATGCTTGACAGATGAACATTTGGTGAGATATACACTTACACTCAACTCTCTCCTCTCTATCTATCCCTGTGTATGTGTACTAACTTGATCGTCGGAGGGGTTTTCCGGCCACACACCGCCAGGTAGCTCAACGCCGTTATCCTCGCAGGTCGATCGGACAGACAGGAGCTTGGAAGAAAGGAGTACGGGCTTGACTGAATATTTGCTCCCCGTACAGATATGTAGAATTTAAGAGAATGAGAGGAGATAGAAAAATTAATTGAAAACAATTTTAAAAAAATTTTAAACCAAACAAATTTTGAATTTTGAACTGTCAAAAATTAATTTGAAAACTAAACAGTTAAATTCAAGATTTTGCATTACATCATCACACGATGGAACTAATAATAATTTATGGTTTCAATTAATGAATGGAATTAATAAGAATTTATGGTTTCAATTAATGAATATTTTATATGCTTAATTTTTTTGGACACTCAATAAAAAGCTTAAAATAGTTATAGATAATGAATTAAAATGTGTGCAACATTGTTAACCACTACTCTTAAAGCACTGATTAATCAAACTCTTTTTATTTCCGATGTATCAAAAAAAAATAAAAAATTAACCAAACTCTTTTTATATGAATTAGCTTTTGGAAGGAAGAAGACAAAAATAAAAAATAAATAAAAATGTGTAGTCTTATGGATTGGACTCCCATTACACATCTCATTTAAGGGATTTTAGTTGTTTATTTTATAAGCTCCTATGTATAAATTATTTATAAAAAATAAAATAAAATAAAATTCATATTGATTCAATTATGGTGACTTCAAAAAAATTAATTCATAAATGATTTAGTAGCTAGTCAAATTTGAACAAATGATCATAAGCCTCCTTCCCTCTTGTCCAGTTCACCTCCACTCAGCATTTAGGCGGAGATTCATCTTCCACAAATTCACATGAAATGAAAAAGTATTGAAAAGCACATAAAAAGGATCTTTGAATACTCACTGCTTACAAATAAAATATATATTGTGTGTGTCAATTTCCGACCACACTGCTAAACAGGTACTCAGTTGGAGAATACCGGCAGAATAGATTAAACTCGAACAACCTGTCACAGAAAGATAAGATTCCGACGGTGGTTCGTCCACCCGGCGGCACTCCGACGATCAAGTCAGTTATCTCTCAAAGATAGCAAAAGTGCTTAACTCAGGGGTTGTTTGAGGTGTCCTAAATAAGTGCACTTTTTGTCTTTTTGGACTAAAAAATTGAGAAAAAAAATATGGATGTTTGGGTTAACTTTTTGACTTTTTGTGAAAAAATATGTATTAAAAAATTGTATAAATTAGTGTGTAGGGGAAAATTAGGATTAAGAGTTGTGCAATCGTAATTTTTGACTTTTGGTGAATAGTAATAACTTTTTAACTTTTTGACTTTTTTTCAACTTGCCAAACTTGGCCTCACTATTCAGAATGCAAAAAGCGTATCTTAGACCTACGAGGGTGCCTCTCTTTTATAGCCAACACTGACCTAATCCCAATAGAAGCCTAGCTTCAATGGATTCTAGCTCAATGCTAATCCTGGACTCCCAGTTAGATTGGGATAAACTCTCTAAGAGTCTTATCTTTATCCAAACTGAAGTCCTCTCTTATTCTAGGACTCTTGTCCCTTATCCGCTTATCCTGGATTCCGGTATCCTTGCAAATAACCTCGGCCTATTCGAGATTATCTCGGCGTCATGACCAGAACACGTGGCACCTCAGATGGCACTTCGGTGCCACCTCGGCCACGTGTTGTCATTCAAAAATTATGTCCCCACAACTGCCCCCTAGGTTCTATTCGGCATTCTGAGGTGATAGAACCTATATCGTTTCTTCCATCTAGCATGTCAGCTAAGCTCGCTTTGTCCTTCATTACCGAAGTCATCATTCGTCGGCTCAATACAACCAAGACTTAGTCTGTTTTCATCAATGCTTCAGAACCAATAACCAAGTTTATCCGAATTTCTCAGCCGAGATCGTCCCCCTAGTAGAGGTCCTACGCCAATAAATCAAGAACTCCAAGAGTTTCAACACGCGTATGAGCTATCACGCACAGTATTTCAACCGTTTTTGCCACGCGTCTCTTTCCTATTGAACCGTACTTGACACGCGCTATTAAGTCGCATCGCACGTGCGTGCGCCATCTGACAAGCACGTTGTCCTAGGCACACTAATTGCCATTTTGCCGCCATTATACGTGTTTGATCAAAATCATCTCTTTCTCTCTCTCTCCGTCTTTTCACTTTTGCATCTTCGTTTTCGTTCAAACTTTCTCTCTCTAACTTTCTCTCCCAAATCCTCCATTGCTGATTTTGCAAAGCTTTCTGTAACCACATTCACTCTTCCTCTTCGGCGAGGCTTTTGCTGCATTTCTTTGCTCATTGCCACCGTCTAACACCGGCGTTCTTCACGCCGGCCTTGCTTTCCTCAATAAGCCACTGTTTCTCTTATTTCAATTTCTTGTTTTGCTTCAAATCGTTGTGCTTGTACACTGCCATGGTGTTTTTATTCATGCTCTTAATTTGTTACTTGTGTGTTGATTTAAACCATTTGTCACCTGTTTCACGATTCTACTCTTGCACAATCTGTTGTTGGCATACACACACACACATGCTGTTCATTTTGCCACTGTTCTTGGCCTTGCTCACTTGCACAAATTTTACCCAGTGTTATTTGAATTCTTGCTCGTCTTCTTAAATCTAAATCATGTCCTTGTTTTTGTTTTCTGTGTCTTTTTCCAGATTCTTGCCCTCAATCCTTGTTTCCGTAGCCTTAGGTTTGGGACTTGTTCTAAGACTTACAAACTTTAAGAAAAATTGAAACAAAACTCCCTTTAGATCTTCAAAAACCCTTACCCCAGCATTCGTTTAGGTTTTGCCGAGGTCCTGTAAATCCTAACAAACCACTTCCTTTTATAATCCAACACTTTCCACTTAAGCTGACATCATGGGTATGTGGAGGTGGAAGGTAGACACCCCACTTAAGCTAGAATATTTCAGGCAGGAGTTCGCCATCCCTGTCGATGTTCACCTTAGGTTGGCTGGAGAAGAGGACTCCATCATGCCCAAGGACGACTCTATGCCTTTTCCAGTCGTAGCCTTTGTAGAGTATGGTCCTAGGCTCCCTCTCAATATTCTCTTCCAAGAAGTCCTTCATTATTATAAACTGAACCCAATGCAGCTAGCCATTAACTCTTACAGAGTCATCAATGGTATTATAGCCTTAGCTAGCCGAGAAAATGCTAAGGTAACTCTAGCCGACATCCAGTACTGCTACAGCATGTGTGGCCTTAAGTAAGAAAAAAGCTACATTTATTATCTTAAGCCGAGGTCTATAGAATACAAACTCATCGCCGACCTCCCTGATTCCATCAAGGGCGCCGGAGACGATTATTTCATCGTCTCGGGCAACTGGGAGTTCCTTCCAGATGACGACCTTCACCTCTACACAGTTAGTCATATACTGTTCAGAGAGGGAGATGGTAAGAGACAAGTGTTTACTTTTACTTGTTTTTCAAGTCTTTAATACTTTGTTCCTTCTAAATATTCTGATGTCTGTATGTTTTATTCTACAGTTCTTCCTCAACCTTCAAAGGACTTCCACAAAAACTTCTATCCCAGCAAGGATTTTAAGAAGCTACTTAACGTGCCTATCAATCAACGCAAGGCTCCTCTGCTTTTAAACTATATCCCGACCTATAAATCCGTCTTACCCAACGCCCCGAAGAAGAGTAAGTCTCCTCCTTCCGCCACAACTCCCCCTACAACTTCATCACCTCGGCCATATCAGGGATCAACCTCTGATCCCGCAAAATAGCCATTAACCTCGGCTCCACAACTAATCCCGCATTCTCAACGCAAACGCCGACGTCGATCTGCAGCCGCCATCAAGATGGGTCGTAAGAAGGCTGTAGCAGACGACCTTCTAGCCGACATCCCCAACTCTATCACCGCACAACCTTCACCATCCCAGTCTCAGTCAAAGCCAAAGCCGAAAAGACTGAAAAAAGCCCAACCTAAGGCAACGGTAACTCAGATCGACTCTGAGGACACCTTGCTGATCTCCAAAATTGCTGAGGCCAAAAAAAGTGCCTCAATCGCCGAAAAGAGGCCTACTGAGGCTACTCCCTCTGAATCAACCCAGTCAAAGAAGCTGAGGTCAGAGTCTGCGACAGCCTCAGGGTCTATGAAATCAGATGCCCCTTGGGCTCCGCCAATTACAATTGAGGACAAGCCGGTCAGAGTTGGTGACAGTGCCGACGACATTGAAGTCGGCGTTGCCCTCTTTACCGCCTTGCTCATTTCCAAAGATCTCAATCGCAACGCCGAGATGAGCAAGTACGAAAATTTTACTTTGATTCTCCACTCTCTGTTTTTTCATACTTAGAGAGTTTTTACTAACATTTGTTTTTTCCGTTTCTTCTAGGCGATCCAGCATGGCCACTCCTTCGCGATGCAAACCTTTAACATCAGGAATAAGTTGACCGACAAGACCAAGGAGGCTATTAGCTTGCAGAAGACCATTAATAGGGCTGAGGCTAAGATGAAGACTCTAATAGACCAAGCCAAGAAAGCTAACAAAGCTCAGGATGAGGCCGAGAAGAGGACTGGGGCCGCTGAAGCCATTGCCAAAGTCCTCGAATCCGAAAAGAAAGAGGCCGAGGCAAAGACCGCCGAAGAACAGGCAGAGCTTATTGCTGCCCTGGCCACAAAGGATGCCGAGATCAAAGCGGCGGATGAGAAGGCGTATGCCGAGGAGGAAGCCGACGTCAAGGAAGATTACAAGAAACAAGTGAAGCAGGCATGTAACAAGGGTTTCTCCCTTGGTTGGATGGTTGCTCTGAAGGAGTTGGCTATCCCCGATGGCTCTCCCCTCAAGAACGCCAGCAACCTCGTCCTGCCATTCCCCGCTACTCCAAGCCAATTCGAGGAGGAGGCTGAGTCCGAGGAGGAAGTTGAGGCCGAGAAGAACGAAGAGGCTGCTGGGGCCAAGTCCCCAACTCTGAATGAGCAAGTCTTGGACTTGACTCATGATGAGAAAGGTGAGGTCTCAAAGGATGCCTCCTCCCAGAAGACAAACTCCGAGGTGCCAATCGCTAAGAAGAGCCTCAATCAAAATCTACAGGAGATCGATGCTGAGTTCGAGGCTGAGAAGGTTGCCGAAAAGCCTTCCCAACTGCCTTCTGGAGCTGAGACATAGTCCGCCGCTGATGCCGAGTAGTCTGTTTTGATGTTTTTCTTTGTACCTTGTACTTTTTTTCTTATTTTTGAAACAATGTAAGCTTTAATTCGGCCGATGTTCCACTTTTGTAATCTAAGCAATTATTCTTCATTGTCAGGCCGAAATGCCTTCCTTCCTTATCTGAATGCACTCTCAAAATTCTTCTTTCAATGTGATTGCATGTGTGTTCTTTTTACTCTTGTATGATTCTATACTTAGAATAATTTGCATGTCTTCAATGCACACCTTGACTGTGTAATCTTCTCGATGTGGAATACTTTGGTTATACCCGCTAACAGTTTATCTCGGCCTTGGCTTAACACTTGAAAATATTTTACAAGTGTTATTTACAACTTGTCACTTCACTTTTTACTTAACAGGACTTCTATCTTCAAATATCTTCCAAGTCTTGGCAACATGGTAATCTCGGCAAGTACATAAGTATTTCTTTCAATACAACCTTGGCTTAACTTGTAAACTTTTCTCAAAAATTTCAACAAGTGTTAAACCAATCTTCCTTTAATCATAACCTCGGCTTAACTTCAACTTGTAAATTTTTCTTAAAATTTCAACAAGTGTTAAACCAATCTTAGCTTATAAATTCCAATTCCCAAGCATCATTCTCCAGCCCTCTGCCCCCTAATGTGAATTTAAGTTCCACTTGGGTTCTCATGAAACATGTGGCTTTGACCTCGTCGCCGAGGTAATATTCAAACAAAGACTAGCTGAGGTTTACCAACCTTGGCTCTTCTGTTAATCTTATTAAAATGCCCTTAGTTATGGGTTAACTTAGTTCAACTTTATTTTATGCAAGTATAATTCAACTCTGCCATATAATAAGTCTAAGTTATTCGTCATGTTTCAATCAGAAACATCGCCAACTTAGTTCAACTCTATTATATACAAGTAGAAACTCTGCCATATAATAAGTCTAAGTTATTCATCATGTTTCAATCAGAAACATCGCCAATTTAGTTCAACTCTATTATATGCAAGTAGAAACTCTGTCATATAATAAGTCTAAGTTATTCGTCATGTTTCAATCAGAAACATCGCCAGCTTAATTCAACTCTATTATATGCAAGTAGAAACTCTGCCATGTAATAAGTTTAAGTTATTCGTCATGTTTCAAACAGAAACATCGCCAACTTAGTTTAACTCTATTATATGCAAGTATAATTCAACTCTGTCATATAATAAGTCTAAGTTATTCATCATGTTTCAATTAGAAACATCGCCAACTTAGTTCAACTCTATTGTATGCAAGTAGAAACTCTGTCATATAATAAGTCTAAGTTATGTTTTAATTAGAAACATCGCCAACTTAGATGTCCAACAAGATCCATGCCCCATTGGACAAATGTCCAAGGGCTGGACACCAGGTTCAAGTCCGCTGCTGGTTGATGTATCAAAGGTGCAAACCTCTGGAACTTCTCATACTTCTTGACTTCAGCATCTTTTTGTATGTAGGGCCACCAATACCCCTGAGTAATGGTCCAACGAGCAAGTGACATGCCCCCTGCGTGGCTTCCACACATTTCTTCGTGCATCTCATACAAGAAGTCTTCAACTTGTGAACAATGTACACACCTCAAAAGGGGTCCAGTAAAAGATCTTCTGTAGAGATGTCCTTCTGCTGTCAGTTTGAATCTTGCCGACTTCAGTCTGATCTTGTATGCTTCTTTATGATCATCTGGCAGTTTTCCCTCTTTAAAGAATATTATTATTGCATTCATCCAGCTTGGTCCCATTTCCACACACATTGCTCCATGCTCTGTGTTCAATGGTTCTATGCTTGGACTTGACAAGTAGTCCACCATTATCGTCCTTGCCTCTCCAGGTTTTATTGCACTAGCTAGGTTGGCCAGAGCATCGGCATGGCTATTGTCATCTTGGCTAACCTGCTGTAGTCGGCAATTCTGGAATAAGGCTACCAATCTGTCCACCTCTTTTACATAGGCCGACATCCTTTCATCTCGGGCTGTGTATTCGCCTATTGCCTAGTTGACGATAAACTGGGAGTCACAGAAGACTATTACGTCGTCAGCTTCCATTGCTACTGCCAGCTTTAATCCTGCAATCAATGTTTCATACTCTGTTTCATTGTTTGAGGCTTTAAATCCCAAACGAATGGATTGTTCCAGTATCTGCCCATCTAGAGATACTAGCACTACTCCTACCCCGCTCCTTATCGGTTTGAACTCCCATCAACAAACAGCCGGAAAGAGTCGCCGATGTAAATACTGCATGGCCTGAGTTTCTTTTCCTTCTTTTGTTCTGCTCTCCCTAGCTGGGTTTCTACTTGTTCACTTAGACATCGTATACCTCGGCTCAACGGAGCCCGATGTATGATGACACCTGGTATGAACTCAGCCATGAAGTCGGCCAATACTTGGCATTTGATTGCTGTTCTGGGTCTGAATTCGAGGTCATATTGGCCCAACACCACTGCCCATCTGGCTATTCTGCCCGCCAGATCTCCCTGCTGCAACAAAGACTTCAAGGGATGCTCAGTTAACACCACAATTTTGTAGGCTTGAAAGTAATGATTCAGCTTTTTAGAAGTCATTACTAAGGCCAGTGTTAGCTTCTCCAAGGGTAGGTATCTAGTCTCAACATCAGCTAGGGTTTTGCTCACGTAGTAAACTGCCTTTTGCTCTCCTTTTCCTTCTCTGATTACTACTGCATGCTCTGAGGCTGCCAAGTATAAGAACAACTCCTCTCCAGGTACTGGATTTGAGAGAACTGGAGCTGTGGTCAAATACTTCTTCAAGTCGGCCAAGGCGACTTCGCACTCTGCTGTCCATAAGAAGTCTGTGCCTTTCTTCACTAAGCTGAAGAAAGGTTTACATTTTTTAGAGCTTCTGCTTATGAATCTATTCAGGGCTGCAGCCCTTCCAGTCAACATCTGCACTTGTTTTGCTGACGTTGGGCTCTCTAACTCCAAAATGGCCTTGATTTGATCAGGGTTAGCCTCAATGCCCCTTCTGGTAACTAAGTATCCTAAGTACTTACAAGACCCAACTCCAAATGCACACTTCGATGTATTGAGTCAGAGCCGATTGTTCTAAGGATGTCAAAAACTGCATTTAAGTCTTCTAGATGACCCTCAGGTTCCTTGGTTTTCACGACCATGTCATTTATGTATACCTCCACTATTCTGCCTATTAGATGCTCGAACATCTTGGTCACCAATCTCTGGTAAGTTACTCCTGTATTTTTCAACCCAAACGGCATCACTCTGTAGCAATACAGCCCTTTTGAGGTGATAAATGCAGTCTTCTTCTCATATGGGGGATACATAGCTATCTGATGGTACCCCCTGTATGCATCCAGGAAGCTCATCCTTCCATGCCCTGAAGTGGCATCCACTAATTGGTCAATCTTGGATAGTGGAAAATTGTCTTTGGGACAAGCCTTGTTCAGGCTGATGAAATCCACACAGACCCTCCACTTCCCATTCTTTTTCTTCACAACCACCGTGTTTGATAACCATGTCTGGTAATTTACCTCTCGAATGGCCCTGGCCTCCAGAAGTTTATCCACTTCCTCTTCTACTGCCTCGACATGCATCAACGTCGGCCTTCTTGCTCGCTGGATGACAAGTTTGGCTGACCTATCCACATTTAGTCTATGGCAAGTGACCTCGGGGTCAATGCCAGGCATTTCGTACGGCGTCCAGGCAAACACCTTAATGTTTGCTCTCAAGAACGCCTCTAGCTTTTTTTCCTCTTCCTCTGCCAAGCCCGAGCCGAGAAGGAAGAAGCGCTCTTCATCCCCTTGCTGGACAAGGATTTTCTTTAGGGCTTCCTCACTCTTCTCAACTAGCTCTTTGCCGACATCATCTAGGACCTCCATGTCCTCATCTTCAATCTCTGCGGCTTCTGCTTCTCGTATGTTGCAGGTGGATTTCATTGCTACTATGGAGCAATTCTTTGCCTGCACTTGATCCCCTCTAACCTCCTCAATTCCGTGCTCTGTTGGGAACCGCAACAGCTAGTGTAACATTGAGGGAATAGCCCCCATTGCATGCAGCCATGGCCTTCCTAGGATAGCATTGTAAAGGGAATGAGTGTCAATTACTGTGAACTCAATTTTTACCTTCTTGGTGCCAGCCTACATCTCCAAACTTACTGCCTCTAAGGGCCACGTCGGCGTTCCATTGAACCCGACCATTGGACCATTGGATTATTCCAGATCATCTTGGTGAAGGCCAAGCTCCTTGTAACACCTGATATACATGATGTCACAAAAGCTGCCCTGGTCGATTAAGATGCGCTTCACTTGGCATTCTCCAATCTGGAGGGATATTACCAAGGCATTGTTGTGTGGATGCTGCACCATCTCTAGGTCATCTTCAGTAAAGGACACCACTAGTCCCTGGCACCCGTCTGCCCTAGGTCTTTTCTGCTTGGCCTAGTACACATGTTGCAAGTGTTTTACCTTCTGAGTCTTCCCACATATTTCGTTCTCATTGACCTTCGAGTGAATCACATTGATCACTCAAGGTTCGCCTGCATGCGGTTGTGGTGCTGGAGAAGGTGGTGCTGCCAGTGCCTGAGGCAGTCTTGCTTGCTCTTCCCTTGTCTTAGCCTCGTCTACAAGGTCCCTTAAATGACCTTGTCTTACTAGGTCTTCTAGATGTGCCTTTAGGGCTCTACACCCTTGAGTTAGATGCCCATCTTCACTGTGGTAAGCACAGTGCTTGCCAAGGCTTCTTCCCATAAATTCGCTCGTAACCCTTACTAGTGCTTTGTAATAGGGCTGATTTCAAATTTTTTCCAAGACTTTGTAAATCGGGATTCGGAATACGGTTGTGATAGCCTGCGCAGCCCTTAATCCTGTTTCTGGCTTATTGTATCGGCCATTACCTCAGCCTCGCTTCTGCGAGCCGTTTCCATTCTCTTGTTTTGACGCCTTTGTCCCCGACGTGTCTTCCTCAGCCCTCGCATACTTCTCAATTCTGGCCATCAGCTCCTCCATACTTTTTGGCAGTGTCTTTGCCAATGATTTTCGAAGCAAACAATCATCTTTCAGGCCGTTCTTAAAAGGCACGACCGCCACCTCTTGGTTACATCTTGGTATCCGGTTGAATACCTCATAGTACCTCTTGGCATAAGCCCTAAGGCTTTCATCCTCACTGATTTTCAGAGCCATCAGGGAGTCCACCATTAATGGTTATATCTTGTTTGTCACAAACTTGGTCACGAACATCTCGGCTAGGCCTTCCCAGGTTTTTGCAGTTCCTTTCGGCAACTTGTGAAACCAGTCCGATGCAATTTTCCTAAAGGACGAGGGGAACACCTTGCAAAGCAACGGCTCGTTCCTGGTGTATAGTGCCATCGAGTTCAGGTACAAGTCGACGTGAAAGTTGGGGTCCGACTTACCGTCATATATCTGGAATCTCAGCATACTGAACCTTTTCGGGGCCTCCAATTTGTCAAACTCTACCGAGAACGGCGTTCTCGGCTTAACCGAGGAGGTTACCTCGGCATCCTGTCGCTTCTGGAGGTAATCCCTCAGATCCTCCTTAGTCCGTCCAGGAGCTCGGCTATCATCGAATTTCAGTCTTTTCGGTGCGCTACTTCCAGTGTCATTATGAGTCCTTTTGGACCTCTCTCCATTGGTCGTGTCAAAACAGAGTTCATTCCCTTGAACATCCTGATGTTCTTTGGTGCATGTTTCTTTGGTTCGACGTGTCTTCTAGGATTCTCTTCTCGTTGATTCCCCATGCCCGTCCTCCCGTGAAGGCCGGTGAGAATGTCCCTTGGTCCTGTCGTGCTGTGGAACTGCAGGAACTGTTTTTCTGCCCTCCTTTTCGGGCATCTTTCTTGGCCGCTGGAATCGGCGTATCTTGTAACAGGAACGGTGGCTGCATGACGTTGTTCTGCATCATGAAATTGACGACCGTTTGCAGGTTCGCCAATTTGTTCGCCATTCCCTTTATCTCTCTGTCCCTCCACAGGCATCTATCTTTCCATACTTGGAGGTCGTTCTCGTTACAATACCCGTCTCGGTCTGCCTTTTTAGTACGTCGCCCTTCTGGCCGACGTCTTTCTCTCTGGGATTCTGATCCCGAGTTTTTTCGTTGCAATTATCCTCCTCTACATTGGGATCAAAGTGCTTACCACTCCCAGTAGGGATGTCGTCCCCAACCTTTTCTTTTTGTCCGTCGTTGGCCATCTATTCTCATTTCTTTCCCACAGACGACGCCAAATTGTGTGTCAATTTTCGACCACACTGTCAAGCAGGTACTCAGTTGGAAAACACTGGCATAATAGATTAAGCCTGAACAACCTGTCACAGAAAGATAAGATTCCGGCGGTGGTCCGCCCACCCGGCAGCACTCCGACGATCAAGTCAATTATCTCTCAAAGATAGCAAAAGTGCTTAACTCACTATTCATAATGCAAAAAGCGTACCTTAGACCCACGAGGGTGCCTCTCTTTTATAGCCAACACTGACCTAATCCTAATAGAAGCCTAGCTTCAATGGATTCTGGCTCAATGCTAATCCTGGACTCCCAGTTAGATTGGTATAAACTCTCTAAGAGTCTTATCTTTATCCAAATTGAAGTCTTTTCTTATTCTAGGACTCTCATCCCTTATCCGTTTATTCCGGAATCCGGTATCCTTGCAGATAACATCGGCCTATCCGAGATTATCTCGGCGTCATGACCAGAACACGTGGCACCTCGATTGGCACTTCGATGTCACCTCGACTGGCACTTCAATGTCACCTCAACCACGTGTTGTTATTCAAAAAATATGTCCTCACAACTGCCCCCTAGGTTTTATTACCTCAGTGTTGAAATCATTTGTTACTTTCAAATATATATATATATATATAAGAGAATGTGCATTTAATTTGTGATACAAGTACTTGCAAATTAGGTAAACAATGGTGTGAAACTTTAAAATTGTCCTTTGAGCCTGTGTTTGGCAAGTGAGTTTGCAGGTTTTTTTGGCTATTTTAGCCACAAAAAACAAAATAGGCTATTTTAGCCATAACAAACAAAACATCACATCCAACCCATAATCATTACATTCTTCTCTCACAAAAAAACTCAAAAAAGCCAAAAAACCAAAAAGCCCTTCCCAAACCAAGCTTTTAAGTCCAGGCTAAAATAGCCAAAAAAGCTAAAAAGCCAAAAAACCAACCCACTTCCCAAACGAAAGCTGAGTAGAGATTTAAAAGAGCCACGCTATAAAAAATAATAATAATAATAAAATTTACCCACGTTCAAAGTGTGTGGATGTGATTAATTATTGATGTGGCCCACAACACAATAATTCTTCGGTGCTATTTAATAAAAATTTAAGTGTTAAATTAAAAATAAATTATTTTATATGATATGAATAAAATCAAATTTTTAATTTTTTTTTTTGAACACCAATCAAATTTAAAATTTATTATTTTTAAATTATATATTTTAATTTTTATATTGTGATGGTGATGGTGATAGTGATGCCAGTGGCATAGTGGTAGTGGTGGTGGTAGTAATAGCGGTAGTGGTAGTGACATAGTAGTGATGGTGATGGTGGTAGTAGTAGCAACAGTAATGGTAGTGGCATGGTGGTGGTGGTGGTGGTGATGGTGATGGTGATGGTAGCGGTAGTAAATGATTGTGGTGTTTATGGCAATAATGACAATGATAATAAAGATGATGGTAGTAGTGGTGGCGGCGATGACATGGCGGTGGTAGTGATGGTAGTAGTGGTGGTGTCATGATGATAGTGGTGATTATAATAGTGGTGGTAGTAGTGGCGATGGCATGGTGATGGTGATGGTGATGGTGATGGTGATGGTGGTAGTGGTGGTGGTGGTGGTAGTGATAGTGGTAGTGGTAGGTAGGGATGCAACTTAGGTGAGGTCAGCCCATGTAACCTGAACTCAGTTTGAATTTTTGTAAGGCTTAGGTAAGTTATTTTTAAATTCGGTACGGATTTGGACAAAAATTCAGAAGTCCAAATTAAATTTGGACGGGCTTGGACAAAGACATTAAACAACCCGAGCAATCCAAAACCGGAATTATACATATGTAAATATATAAAAATATTATACATATAAAATATTAGCCGTTACATGATATTAATTTAAATTATTAAATCATATTGAATATATATTATATATACAAGTAACATGAAATTTTACATTTTTTATTCTCACTCATCAATTGTAAAAATTATTATAGTGACATCTCTCTTACATTATATAAATTATTTATTTTAATGTTATTAATATTTTTTATTAAAAAAATATAAAATAAAGTCTAATTTTAATAATTTAATAATTTCACTGCCAAAAAAAAAGCAAATAAACAAACAAACAAACAAAAATTCATTTACAATTCGAGCAATTCGGTAACTCGGACAATTCGGGTTTAACTCGTGTCAGATTTGGGCAGACAACCTCAGGTTACAATTCAAGCTTGGGCGGACCTGGGTAAATCTTTGTACAACTTGGGTTAGACTTGAATAACCTCCCAACCCGACCAAACGCCCTCGAGTTGCATCCCTAGTAGTAGTGGTAGTGGTGGTAATAGTGGCGGTGGCATTATGGTGGTGGTATTAGTGGCAGTGGCATTATGGTGGTGGTACTAGTGATGGTGGTGATGATTTATAATAATGCATATTAATACTTATGTTTAGTATTAAGTAAATTTTATATGACTTAAATTTTTAAAAAATTTTAACTTACATTTTAAGAGACATTTAAATTTTTAAGTAATATCAATCATGATTATAAAACGAACTTAATTCATTATCACTTAATTAATCTAATTTTAAATGTTAAATCATATTATCAAACATCTCTACACCACACATTTACTTCTAGACAATTTTCACGGCTCATAAATCTTGAATAGTAACATTTCTCAATTCAAAAATAAAAGAAGAAAAAATGAAGAAAATATAAATAAATAAAATATAAGTTAAATCTTTTCTTCATTTTTGACCCTTTTAAAATTTGTATAAAAAATTACCATCCAAACAAAATATAAAATTAATTACTAATTTATTATTAATTTTCTGTACCAGTGTAGCATCTATTCAAGTCAGTAACCAGTAGCATTAAAAGCATTGAATGAGATCTGTGTGGAGTGTGGACATTTGAGTAAATAGTAGGTGATTATCTGGTAGTCTTCGCCCCTATTGCTCAACACCATTTATTATTTTGGTTTATTTTGAATAAGTTTGTTAAAAGTCAATTTTTTTATATTTTGACATTTTAGAATATATATTTTTTTTACACAAATTTTTTTTAAAGAAATCAAAAAATAAACTTTTAACTAGACAAAGAGGGATTTGTATGGTATTGGTTCAAATGCGAAAATTCATTGGCGTGGAAGAGATGTTACCTTGTACTTTGGAGGGAAACGGGCTGGAGTGGTGTGTATCTGGTCAGCAGTGGTGCAGTTCTTGGCGACGGATGGTTCGATAGCCATCGGTTACTGATGTCACACGATCGAGTCGAGATACGACTTTTCTACGACTGTGATGGTGCTGCAAGGTGAAAGGTGCGACGGATCTTTGGCAATCGCTGGTGTGAGCGTGATGGAGTGGACTTGTTTCTCTAACTGAGGGACTGTCTTGCTTGTTCAACGACAAATGCAGGTTGGAGAAGGATATTTGTCAAAATAAGTCTTTGACCCGTTCAAAAAAAAAAAAAAAAAAAAAAAAAAAAAAAAAAAAAACCTTTGACGCTTGTCAAATTATACTTCAAAAATATGATAGTTTTAACTAATAAATATCGTATTGGAGCAACCCATGGCGTTGTTCCAGCAGCAAAAAAATAATGGCCTTGTTTAATTTGTTTTTGAGAGAGTAATTTTTTTAAAAAAAATTTAAATTTTGTTTGGTTTAGTGATTTTAGAAAAAAAAAAATTTAAATCACTTTCTCTCTTCTACTCATCAATCAATCACTTTTTTTTTTCATCTTTTCTCTTTAATCATTTTTTCTCTCATATACATCTACTCAACTACAATAAAATATCAAATTATCACAAACTCTCATACTCTAAAACTATTTCTAAAATATACAATCAAACAAATCAGAAAAAATTTTAAACTTTCTCTTCAAAAAAAAAATTAAAAATTTATCTCTTAAAATTAAACCAAACACACCCAATAATTTCTCAAATAGTAGAGGCGTTGCCTTCATGGTTGAAAGACCATTAATGACCTCAGTTGATGAGCAACTTATCCAAAGTTGTTAACAGTATACTGGATTAGGTACCTTTTTTTATTTATTTATGGGTGTGGTACCTACTGGTAGCGGTATGTTACCGGACGCCGTTTCGAATTTATCGCATAAATATTATATATGTATTAAAAATATTATTTAATAATAAATAATTTAACAATATATATTATGAATCACAAATATATATGTAAAAGAGTCTTAAAAATATTATGAATTACAATTATATATGTAAAAGAGTCTTAAAAATATATTAGTTCTGCTAAATAACACAAATTAAAGTGTACTTCAAAAAGAGTTTGGAACCAATTTCTAACATTTTAATATTCCAAACCACTACACAAGAAAATATACATATATATATATATATATATATGGCTAAGTACTTTTCGGCATTTATTCGGTATTATGCTTTCAAAACTGGCCAGTATTGGTCGGTACTGTCAGGCATTGACCGGTATTTTAGGCGGAACATAATTGGACTATGTAGGTACCGTTTTTCTTTTGAAACTGTACATACTAATAACATTGATCTAGACTTGACTGAAAATGTTTCAATGACTAGATAGTGGCGTAGTGTAGCTTTTATAATGAGAGAGGCTTCTTCAGTCCAAATCGAATTGGAGGGTGCTATTGGACTTTCACAGATCCACTACAAAACTCGCATCGATAATCCTAATCATTCATTTTTTTGGATTTATTAAGTAAAATATTCATGCAAAAAATCAAGATGATTGGGTATTGATAACTATATGTTTGAATCATATTTGTTTTAAGAAAATGGATAACAAATATAATTTCAAGAATAACCGTCTATTTTTTGTAATACAAACTTGATTCAAACATATAGCTGTTACTGATATCCAATCATATTGATTTTTTGCATAAATATTCTATTCAACAAATCTTATAAGGTGAACAGTTCAAATCATCGAAATGGGATATGAACATCAGAGAAGTCTAACCCCAATAAAAGATATTTAAGTTTATGATTCATTCGAAGACAAGTTAGTGGTCATCCCACAACTCTTTATCTTATTAATATGGGATATGTTTTACTTTTTGAAAAATACTTCATACACACAATTTCTTTCTCGCAAACCTTCCCAAATGATATGGCAAAAAAGGCTAATTAATAACTCATGCTACTACACTTTTCTCTTATCTCAAAATTTTCTAGCCAATCTTACCACATCATTCGGAGAGGTTTATGAGGGAGAAATTGTACTATCATTTTGAATTTATAAAAAGAGAGAGGGTTCTCTCCTGGGCCTCCGTGGGTTTACCACGGAGCTCATATCGATAATTCGAACCGTTCAATATGTAGAGCTCGTCGAGTACTTTATTTTTGTAAAAAATCACATTGATAAGATATTGATAACTACTTATTTAGATCTCATTTGTGTTAATGGTAAGTATAATTTTTAAAATAAATTGTTGACACAAATATGGTATGATCATGTGTTTATCGATATTCAATCAATGTAATGTTTGCAGGAATGAAATACTTGATGAGCTCTATATATTGAACGATTCAAATATCGATACGAGTTTCGTGGTAAGCGCATAGAGGCCCAGGAGAGACCCCTTTCCCTTTTTATAAATTCAAAATGATAATACAATTTCTCTCTCATTAACCCTTTCGAATGACGTGGTAAGATTGGCTAGAAAGTTTTGAGAGAAGAGAATAGTGCTATAGCATAAGTAATTAATTTTTCTTTTTTCGCCACATCATTTGGGAAGGTTTGTGAAATAGAAATTGTAGGGATGAAATATTTTTCAAAAAGTAAAACATATCCCATATTAATACCATCTCCAACGTTTACTTAGATCCATCACCAAATTTAAATTTGGTGAAAAAGTACTGTTTTTGGCTCTCCAATGGTTTCAGCAAAACGATATCAAATTGAGAATAACTCAAATCTTACACCAAACTGAGGACGTAGCTCATCTTTCACCAGTTCACTGTTTGTGACCGTTGGGTGTGGGGCTACCGGTCGTCCGGCCGGTTGTCCCCCTGGTTGTCCGGATTACACAGAAAATGAATAACAACAATGGTTGCTTCATTCACGCTTTGGGTTTCTTTCCTCTTTGTCTTCTTCTTCAGAACCAGATGTGGAAGGCCGATGAAAGGTCAAGTTCTTAACTGGGTGAATTCTTGTGTAGGTGATTCGTTTTTTTTATCGTTGTTTGACACTTTTTGATTGATTTGGAGGTGACCCAGTTCAAGATTTGAGTGGATTCTTTTGGAGGAGACCCAAGTGAAAAATTGTTAGTAAATGGATCCTTGGTGTTTGGATACTGAGAATCTTTTTTTCAACAACCATATGTATGGATCTATATAAAGAAAATCTGAGAATTGTGTGAAATATCAAACATTCTTTCAAGACATCATTCTACCGTCGAATCTTTGTGAAAAACAAAAAAAGCTGGGAATCTGTGTGAAATATCAAACAATCTGTGTGAAAATTATAATGAATCTTTTATAGAGATGCACACTAACAATCTTTTTTTTACTCAGTTCAAGA